TTAATTGACTATATATTTCAATAGTGAGTTATTTATCGTTCATGTAAAGTAAATTATAAAATTGGAAGGAATTATGAGAAAATGTTAACTTATTTCAGCTTTCACCTTTGGCTTTCACCTTTTCACTCTATATCAACCAATAGATGGGCATAATGTCACTTTAACTGAGACAATTTTTGAGAATTCGACCTCTGAAGTCTAAAAAGAGGTACTTTTTTGCTAAAATGATTTTTTTACTATCTGCCCTCCTTCAATACTGTCATTTTTTGCTGTTCAATATGAAATCAAGTTTGAGGTTAACTTCTTTGACAGATTCTGAGACAACAGACCCTAACAAAAAGGATAACTAATGCTTAAATAGTAAGTAAAAATGGGTTTAAGTTTGCATACATTTTTCTTTTGGATAATTTGCAATTTTGAAATGGGCCTTAAGGAAAATGGAAACCAACGCCGACAAGAGGGTGATAACGATAACTCGACTTATTTTCTTCAAAAATAAATATCGGATATGATTTGATTATATTATCAAAAAGTCTCATTATTACTGTTACAATTAGCATATCGTCGATGAAAAAGAACATTTACGGTATTTATTCATTATTGAATCGAACTTATTTCAATGAATTTGAAATTATTCAAAAATGTTTTAGACATATCTAGAGTTTTCTTTCTGTGTTAAGGGCTTCTCTTGTTTTCACCAGGTATTTTTAAAGACGCTTCACTGCACTTGAATAGCATGTCATCAGGTGAATAAATTACACACATTTGTTTTATTTCAAACAGGCATACATGTAGCCATATACTCGTATACGTGCTACTTTACATCACATGGTAGGAATATTTATTATAAACTACTCAGTGAAAAAGGTTTAAAAAGAAAAATAATCTGATTAAACGTCACATTTAAAAAATCTTAACACAATGCAAGAACTTTAATAAGGACCCTAATCTAAAATAAAAAAATAAGCTTGCAATAATGTAAAGTGTAATAACGATACATTGATATGTTTACATATGTTTACATGACAATGCAAAGCCTTCTAAAAATAAAAATAATTTTAATATTTTAATGTTTGAAAAGTTTTGTCATTTATTTCAAGGCTACCTTTTTAATTTCCATAATATCTTTTAGAATCGTCTTTCTGATGTCCTCCTCAACTTCCATGTCATTAGAAGCATCGGTTAGAATTTGACACATGTCATCAAAACAATCATTTTTGTCAGTCTCGTCAACACGATTGTCCCGTGAATGGTATAATTTATGCATTGCTTTCCTCAACTACAAAATAGTTAATATATGTTACTCTTTAAATAGTATTAAAAAGTTATAGTGAAATAATGCTGAAGATTTCTCTTTTTTAAACAAAGCGTAGAACTTTTATTCGTGTTGCAAACAAATTATCAATTTCAACAACAGATGAGTTCAGTAAGACTTTTCTTGATAATACATACAATGTTAATAATACAGTATATTTATTTCAGTAATCATAACGACAACGAGAAATTTAACAAATATTTTACAAACGTACTCTGTATTTTGGTGCCTGTCGTATCGGGTTGGTAAATAAGTTGCACTTCATCAGAATAGTGAGTAAGGCGGCAGGGTCGGTGTCCTGTGGTGTCATGTTATTTTCATTCCCTTCCGGCATAAACATCTTTGCAATAGCCCATTCAAGCGTAACACCTGTGGTATCTCTGCAGTTGGTCAACCAATATATACCATTTTCATTGTGAGATGTTTGGTTATACACTCCATCGTGTAGGGCAATTATCTTTTCAAATGCTCCTTTACAGATTTGACACGTATCTCTCCATTCCCATCTAGATTGTCTACGTTGGTATCTAACTTTCGTGTCCAAGCTAATTCGAATACAGCCTGCACTAGAACGAATATGTGCTTCTTCAGCATGCGTTAAGAAATGCTGAGAAGGTTTTAACTGACATTTCCTATGAGTATAATTTTTAAATTTATTCAACACATAATCGTATAGTGCCCATGTTGTTTTGCTTAACCCTAAAGTACATCTAACCCAGTCTGTATGATCTTTATTTGATATTTGTTCCTGTATCTTTGACATTATTCTGTCTGTTGAAAGTTATGAAAACCTCGTCTGGAAACGATTGATAAATACAATATATGCAACGTCTTAAATTCAACGATAAGACAAACACATTTATTTTACAAATTTTAGCTGGGGTAATTTCGGGTCATTACATCAAATTTCTTACACTAAATGAACACCCAAACCTTGTACATTATGTTAATTTAAAAGGTGATCTAACAATAATGCTAATTCAAATGGAATACAGTTACTTCCTAAAATAACAATAAAATTATTATTGTTTCATCAAAATTTAGAAAATTAGTTAGAAAAAGGTCAAAGTTGTAATATGTAGGTTTGAAATATATTTTTGTCCTTCAGGAGGCAGTATACAGCTCCGGTCGTTTCGTTTCGAATTTGACAAGGCCAACTTTACAACAAAAAATCAAAGCACTGAGACCACTGAGGTATACATTGTTTGATAATATAATCCATTTTTGTCACAAAGGCCATATTGATTTTAACCTACTGAGATCAAAATCGATAGGGGTCATCATTTGGCCTAACAAGTGAGTCAAGCCATTGTTTATTTCTTCCAAAGTTATTAATGAGACAAGGAAGATGTGATGTTCAAATTATGTATTTCTAGGCAAGCTGATAGATGAGCAATAGATAAATCAGTTTGTGAAACACCCGTTAATTGACTGCAGTATAGAATATTGAAATAGTAATATTGAGTCTATAGTGATGCTATCTAATGAAAGACATGACCTGGCTTGAACACTGTATAAAGTCAATCAATTGAAACAATTTTAAAGACTTAATTACCAAATTATAGTACATCCTGTTGTATAGCTTTCCATGTTACAGATCTATGTACTGTACTTTTATGCATTTATATATAAATAAACACATTAATTTTCAAATGAATTACTTTATCGTATATTAATAAAAATGAAATCTATAATCAAATCAATTCAGATGTACTTTAATACTGGGGCAAAAGTGTGACCAGTAGAGTGTTAACAAAATAAATCACCAGTAGAGTGTTCACAAGTAAATGTCATCGTCGGATACGCACGGTTGATCAACATGTAAGATGGCATAACTGATAAATGTTAATGGTTCGGCCGTGGGTATCCGTCGATGCTAAATGAGGACAGACCACAGTTGACATAATATGGATGACCGACATTCAACAATTCTGTAAGCTTATCCTAAGCCAGCCTATAAGTTTTACCACTGGGACCAGGGTACATGTGTATATACTCTTGATATGCGTAATAGTTGTCTTTGATAATTTATAAGGAGTCTACAGTTTCCCCAACATTGGTACCGCTTGCATGTACAACATTAACATTAAGGAAAAAAGTTCTAGCCGTAAGTCATCCAAGACACACTGAATTGTCTAGCCGTACGGCACTTTTCAAAAGTATATGAAAGTCGAAATGCATGTGTTTATTTAAGCTCCATGCTCTGGCTAAATCGTCAATATCCCAAGTTCGACGAATTGTTATGGGTCGATTAGTCGAGTCGCCGAATCGTTATTTTTTCCCGTTACTGAATAAGGCAATAAACATTTTCCGGTATACTCATTTTGTAAAACCTTTGAGGACATTTTTGTTGCATAAATGTCAATAAGGAATTTTATTTGATAAAATATCTATCTTAGATGTTTCGTCTCATTTATATTATTCTGATGCATTCATTCATGCTTGCATGTGCATGCGCGTAGGTATATACTACGATTTTATCAATGAACTGTAATTTTTGTTTTCTGTAAAGGAATGTATTATTTCATGAAAATGAACTATTTGAAACTTTGGAAGCATTTAAACAATTTTGCAAACAATATTGTAATGTGAAATCGGAATGTAACAATACTGCAGAATGAAGAACTAGCGGTTTTTATCCGGAAGTGGATGTTGTTCGGAAGAGGATAACCACAATATATTCCATAATTTTCTTAAATTTCACAAATTTTAAGTGCACATTGGCTATTTGAATAAAAAAGATATCAACATATCATGAACAAAGCAGGATGATCACAAAAACAAAAATATTAGAACTGCAAATGCAATCTTAACAATGATTCTTGGATCAAGTATCCTTAAACTCACTTTACTGTAGGTTTTGAACTTGTAAAGGTAATAAACATATTTTCATAAAGGTATTTTCAGGAACATTTGGTGTTAACTACACTGTGGTTCCACAACAAAGTAAGGACTTTGAATTGACTAGCATAATATATTATTAAATGACATAAAGAAAATTCTTACCAAAAATGATACTTACTGTCTTTGTATATAATTAGGTTGCTTAGCAACCAATGAATAATTAATATTTTGTTATAAATTTCCAAATTTTACAGGCATATAGGAGATTAATAGTTACTAAAGAGTTACAATGAGATCAAACATACAGAGTATTTTTATTATGTTGATCCTGTTTCAAATCCTTTCTATTTGAAGGGAATTTTGGTTGCCTAGCTACCATGGAATATTCTTTGATTTTGATGCTTCTTTTACCAATGTTCAGGATTTGTGATAATTTTACAAAGTGATTCTACACTAATATCAACATAAAAAATTAACTGACCTATCATTTGTTATAGATAAAATAGTTTTCATATTCTACAACTATAAAATATTTGAAACTTTACACAAGTACTGAAGCTTATTACTTCACATTTTCATGCAGTCATTTTCAATCTAGGACACAGCCAGCTTAAGATATAGTCACACAGCCAACTAAAACTGTTTATTTATCTTGAAATCAAGACTATAAAAACCTATAAAGACAGGATTACAGTCGATCAATTCATAAAATGCATAGGTTCAATGCAATTCTATAACTTAAAGTGACATGACTGATGTTGAATTACACTAAACTCAATCACATGAAATGTTTTAAATTTGATGGAAATGAGTAACTGGTAAGCTGACATCCAAAACTTATATACCTGTACGAAATTTTCTGCACGGAAATGAGGCGGAATTCAATGGCAGATTCCGCCCAGAAATTTAAATTCTCCCCCAAATATACAAGTGTTAAACCATTTGCTTTTGGCACGGATTCCGGCCGGATTCCAGGCGGAAACGGGACGGATTCTGGGCGGAATTGGGACGAAATATGCAAATGAGTTGGGGCGGAATTTTGAAGCAGAATCTTGGGGCGGAATTTTGAAGCGGAATCTTGGGGCGGAATTTTGAAGCGGAATCTCGGGGCAGAATTTCGGAACGGAATTTTGGAACGGAATTGTCAAACAAAATTCTGGGCGGAATTCTGGGACAGAATTCATGGGGGCGGAATTTTTATGAGTTTAACATGATCACATTTTTTTGGGATAAATATCAATAATGTATCACATTAAATTTTCTTTCACAAAATTTAATACATATCCTTTAGTCCAAATACAGAATAGAATACCATACATTCACTATAACACAAACAGTTTTTTTTCTACCTGCAGGTTTTGGTAGGTACTGGTTTTCTTAGAATCCAACACTTTGTTTTTTTGCAATTTTTTTGCTGAGAGTGTTTCAATCATAAATTTGTTTCAAATGTTTCTGATTATTTAAATTACTATTTCTTTAATTGATGTCTGTTTTAAGTCCACTGCCTGTGTTTGTTTCCAAGAACTTCTTGTGGTTGTGCTCACCTTTAATAATAAAATTAATAATTAATTAAACAAAAATGTAGTAATGAATTATGTTTGATGGCATAATTATATGCAGTTATATTTCATATTTTTTGATAATATCAAATTTTATGTTTCAACAGTATTAAATATTAACAGTGCTTATGCATATTCAAAAATACTAAAGCTTACGCAGTATCTTATTTCAGTGCACAAGTGTTTAAGAATTGCTCTGTATAAGAATTAATTAACTGCTTTATTTGTGACACTATTTTTTACTGGTTATGTATTTTTTCAAGGAAAGATGTTGAATAGTAAAGTATTGAGATTTAAAAATATACCTTTTCAGGATTAATACTGCACATCTTTATTGAAACACCTTGCATCTCACAGTCAGCACTTAACTCCCAGTCTGAAAATATGAGTGTAAAATGTAATTTTAGATTGTTCCATTGGAAACACAACACATACATGTAAAATAATAAATGATTATGATGACCCAGTTCAGCTGTACAAAACTTCTGAATTTGTACCATTTATTCCTATTTAATCAAATTGACTTAATTTGTTTAATTTCCAGGAAATGAAAAAGATCTACTACAATTGCTATTAATTTATACAATACACACAATCATTATATAGAATCATTGAATAATTTATATTTTACAGTCATTAAACATGTAATAAAGATTTAAAACAATTATCAGAAAAAAAAACAAATGTATGAAGTTGAAAATATAAAAACAACATTGACCTCTTGTTACAAATTTTAGTTTGCTACCATTGATAGTTTGATATTAAACTTGTTTCAGCATTAATGTGACTAAAGGTTTATGATTACCTGATTATGTTGTTCATCTCCTTGTCCCATGTTTTCACACTTATTTATCATACCAATACTAAAACACTTCGAGATCTTAAACAAAAGTATATCTCCAAAATTGTTAAAATATCAAATACATCCTCTGTTATTTGCACTCTTTTTGCTGACCCAGATATCTTAGAATTCAAAATTCACAACTGTATAACTGCATGGACAGGTCAATCATTATGTAAAACAGGGTTAATTTACTTATCATCTCAACCTCCATTCATTGAATGTAACAAAAATTCAAGTAACAAATAGATATATATATAGAATTTAAAAATCATTACAAATTTCTGAACAAAAAAAATTGCAATGTCCTAGACAAATTCTGCATATGAAATTTATAATGTTATCTCTCCCCAAAATAATTCAATGGAACAGCCTGATCTGTTGGAATGACCAGTGGAGTAAATTAGTCATGCAAAGAATTTAAGATGGTGGGAAACTGCTGGTCAGTTGAGTTTTATCAGAGCTCTGATCTGTGTAGTGTAAAATCTCAGTGGATGTATATTGTAGTATTTATTTACCTAAATGAAAGCAATTATTGGGCAGTATTGGCTGATCAATTCTATATAGATTAAATGGGCATACTATATGAGATTATTTCATGCAATGTTTTTGTTTTGTTTTTGTTTATTTTTTTATAACAAATCATGATTTCTTAGAGTTTAAAATGGCAAGCACACTATCTTGTCCTGTGGCTGTCCTGATATTCAAATTTAAACAACATTCTTATTTCAATGTTGCTTTTTATAAACTTAGGGAGACACAGGCAAAATTTTCATTTCTTAGTTTTGAATTTTTCATTAAATATTCTGTAAATGCCCTCAAAATGAATATATTAGACAGTCAAAGGAGCAAAACCTTTCTCCATATAAAGAATAAAATGATGGTTTCCTAACTTGACCCGCGTGGGTCAGGTTAGAGCGCTAACATTTCACAATAGTGGTCAAAGTGAGCTCTGGAAACGTTAAAGAACATGTCAAATGTATGACTTAGACTTGTTTCAATCATACAATATCCACAATATCTGTTATTGTAACTTCAAGGGTTTGTTCAAGTCACCTGACTTGTATTAAAACTATTTGGTGATTTTATTTGCGTCTAAATTCTGTTCAACATAAATAGATAAATTTACGCTTTAAACCTAAAATATATACAATATATACAGAAGTTCATGCTTAAACTTTAAGAAAAGTCATTTTAGCGTGATTTGAGTACATAAGATCATTTTAATATTTTTGTCATTATTTTGCCTGAATATCCCTTTAAGCATTTTGGAGGTGAATGTTTTCAAGTTCTACACTAAGATTATAACAGTTGTTTTTCAGTACAAAACAGATTTGCTAAATTAGTCTGACAATATATCATTTGCCACAATATTTAAAAACATTGTTTAGGTATATTTTAATGTCTAAAAAATAACCCTATTTATTCTAAAAATACACCTGTAATTATTGGTCAAGTACCATGCTTCAACAAAATAATAAGTACAGTTGGTAAAATTTCAATGTCTGCAAGTGCAAAAACAAGAGTTAACAATTATGATTTAGACATCTTATATGTGAAATTCTGTTCAAGAAAAAATGTTTAAGTATAGAATTCCGCCCATAGTGAAGACCATTCCTTCCCAAGAAAATTTCAAAGTTGAAAATTCTGTCCAAGATGAAATGTTTAGGTATAAATTCTGCTCCAAATAAAATTCCAGCCGGAATTTTTATAGTTTTCCGCCCAGAAAAGTGAACAAAATATTTTTCTTGTGAGACGGAATGACACGGAATTTGCGTTTCCGTTCCTGGTCCGCCCAGAAATCACTGATTCCGTGTCAATTCCGTGCCAATTCCGCCCAGAATCCGTGCCAAAATTTCGTACAGGTAGGCAACCATTAATTAATATGTATACATCCATGATCCACGGGGTAAAGATAGTTATCGATAGTCGTATTTATTTACATACTGTAAGTTTCAAATAGGTTGCACATGGTTACGCATACAGCTACAGAAGAAAATCTAACATTATGAACGGATACCATCAGAAAACTGATCAAGGAGTTTAGCGTACGTCTAAACATTAATAGAATAAGCATTATCTTGCAAATCAAAATTAAGAACGGATACCTAATTATCATTTGAGACTTTTAATCCCTTGCGTACCATTGTAGAATAAACCAATCGCCATGCGACAGTACAATTACCCATTAGGGAGAATTAAGCACGAATCCATACGCATGACCGACGACGACAGGTTAGTTATGTAGACATGCATAGTTAAACCTAATACTAATTCCGTGACACCCCCTTCCCCGACATACTGAATCCTGAACATTTTTTACATTTGTAGTGATAACAACGAAGGAAAATATACAAAGAAATAAATACACTTTCATGTCACAGAAAAGTTTTCAAAGCAAAGCAAAAATGTTAATTGTTGGTAAATTTAAACAATTTTCTCTTATTTCTTGTGTATAACAATAATATATTCAAATACATACTCTAAAATATTAAGATTTGATGTAATCCATAAGTAGTATTCAGACTGACAGTAAGATAAGATAGATCGAAATTGATTTGGTATCTTTAATGTTATGATGTTCTTCAAGAAATATGCAGTCTCAAAAAAGTAAATAAATAATGAAGAAAACAAAAAAAATTTACAAAATCTAGATTATGCCAGGGAAACATTTAAAAAGATTCCATTATGAATAGATTTATTTTAAGTATCTGCATAAACCAATTTTTTAAATCAAAGCAAAATACTATACAACAGGAAACATAATTGTTATGGACAGTATAATTATTGATTCTATTTAAAGAATGCACATATAAAAACTATTTGAGTAAAACACACATTCATGTACATAAATACACAGCATCAAACTCCTGATATACATGTATACGCCTTTCCATGACATAAATATATGTATTAACGGTAACTATGACCACATAAAACATATCTCGACTTGTGCATTTAAAAATTTCAAATAAAGTTGAATGTTTTTTGAAACAGACTATAGGTATGGACGCGATATAATTGCGAAGGCGGATCAGAACAGTATTTTATAAACAAACCTATATTCGCGTTTTATATTACGCGTGATAGATTTTTATAATAAATTACATCAGTTACCATCACATGGAAAGACTTCAAGTGGCACATAATAATTATGATAGTTATATACTTAGTAATCACAAATCGGTTTACATGATTTGAACGAAACAAAGGATACTTTAACGTTATTTTCTCGTTTACCATGTATTAAAATAACAAGACAAACACCAACTAAATCAAAATATATCATACTATACACAAATTGAATTACAGGCATTTCTAATTATTGTCCAGCAATATTGACCTGGCACTTCATTAACTTTCTTAAAGGTCATTTGAATAAACACTAATCAGTATATTATATCGAATTTATCGATATATTTTCTAACTTCACTCCTCAGTGAGTCGTAGTGTATTGGTATAGATGTCGGACTACCGATGTTTGATTCCTTACTAACATCACGTTATGATTTTTTTTTAAATTAACTTGTAAGAATTAATTTGAAATCGTTTTACTACACGTGATTGTAGAATACATTTTGAGAGGTGTTTTATACAAAATTATATCTGTATCTTTTGACAATGAAAACGTATATGCTTTTACGCACGCACGTTATAAAATCAGATATTAAAATATACAACATAGATAGTATACACAACAAAAAAGGTTTGCAATAGTTTTAAGAGAATGGCAATCTTAAAACCAAAATAAAAAATAAATCTCTGAAATAGGTCTCGAACCAATCAATTTACGATTTCACCCCTTACCAACTGCGCTAAGAGGGATTTTTAATTTAAAGCATTTTAAAGTATTGATCAGTTTTCATTGTTGGACGGTTTGCTTATCAATAGCTTAACCCATTTCTCGAAGATCATATCTATGTACGTGACCAGTTATACATACGACATGTTGTTTATGTAAAAAATCATGTTACGGTTTTCGTTTTGCCTGTAACTGATAGCAATACAAGTAGCGTACGGTAAACAGGAACAGTTTGACTAGACCAAAATAGTTCAGCTCGCTGACTCGTGCATGACAATTAGTACAAATATATAGTGTGAAATGTACATACGAAGAGCATTTTGATGTGTAGGAGTATTTTTAATTAGGGCACTGATTGTGCAAATAACATATAGGATTATACATGAAGTGTATTTTTTTTCGTCGGACAAGACATGTATTAATCATCTAGTTCCACATCGAGCCCGTTGTGAATTGACTAATAATCGAAACCAAAAGTGTTACATAGCTAGTGAGGACAGCAAAACTCGTGTTTAAGTTTTAAAACTATGCGTGTGACAAAATAAATGCATATCATTACAATAATAACAAATTCATATAAGAAAACTTACAAATACTTATTTTATGTAATAATCCCCAAATGATTGTCAACAAGGAAGTCGTCTGTTACCGTTCGTTGAGCGCCACCTACGCGTGTATGTAGAAGGGAGTTAATTGTTGGTCGTCTGTTACCATTCGTTGAGCGCCACCTACACGCGTATGTAGAAGGGAGTTAATTGTTGGTCGTCTGTTACCATTCGTTGAGCGCCACTTACACGCGTATGTAGAAGGGAGTTAATTGTTTTTGTTTTTTTATTTACAAAAGTGTATATCCCATCAAAACATTGTATTTTTGGTTTAAACATTTTGTTCAAAAGAAATTAATGTAAGTCTTTTCATGTTTTGATATTTTGATATTCGTTCTTCTTGTTTAACACTATACAATGATCATGAATGTTTGCAGTGGGTAAGTTTCGTTTTAAAATTTCAGAAGTAGGGGAGAACGTTGACCCTATTTTTTTCATTTTGAATGTTTCTGTTATCATTATATGAAAGAAATAATTTCGGTCTCGGCGATGCTTATCCGGTATTCAACACCGGTTTGGAGTTTTGATCCGCTCAGGGGCCTGTCTGGAATGGTTTTCGGCACCGTTTTACGCTTTCATTTTATGCCGAGATTCTTAAATCTTCATTCAGAGAAAAATGTCGGCGCATAAGAAGTTATACTCTGCACTTTTTGAGTTATTACCCTTTGTTAATTTTCATACTAACTTGGCTTGTCCAGAGCATAACTTGGTCACTTTATGTTTGATTGACTCCAAATTTGGTATGCAAGCTTTTTTTCATTCACCTCAAGTGCAGTGCACAATAATTGTAACCCATTTAATTTCTGTCCAAGTCATTTGTCCTATATTATAAAAGTTGTGGACTTGAGAACTTTTAATATAGGATGATAGAGTACATTGCAAGTGTTTATAGATAACCTATATTTAAAAAGAAAATGCCAGACAACTAAAATGTTGACAAGGCGACACATCAATGTTAATTTATATTTGCACTTGCCACGGATTTATATTACAATATAAAACCGCGACACAACTAACGTCACTAATCACATTTCCCTTCCATTTCTTGTAAATCTGAAATAAACAAATATGTAAAGCTATTTTTTAATACATGTACTTGCATTTACGGAGAGATTTACTGAAAATTGTTTTTACAAACCGATTTATTTATATTATCAATATTCAGGTGCAAATATTTTAGTTTATATATGTCGAAACAATCTGTACTTCACTTTCAATGAAACTACCCAATGGAACAATAATCAATTTGTTCGTTAGAAAACGGGACTTTTAAAGGTTGGTCGTTTATGACAAAGATAAAAAATAAAATTTTATTGATTTTCAGTTTATTTGTTCACTTAAACCATAGCATCGTCGCGAGTGCGAATAGAACGTTGTAAAATAAAATCATTCTGGATGAAAGAGACTAAATTGATTCGACATAGTACATAAGGTGGCGCAATAGCTCAGTTAGTTAGACAACTGGCTGTCACTGCTGAGGTCCCGGGTTCGACCCTTGGGTTTTTCAGAGACACTGTCCCCTAACTAGAGGTGTACTGGTAAGAAATCCATGTAATCCTCGCATGTATCAGTGCTGTAAACTAGACATGTAAAAGAATCTATTCTATAAGAGCTAGGGACTGTTTCTCGGATTCCCTGTAATCTCATAGCTGTCTCTGAAGTGACTATTCTTGAGTCATGTCTACGTCCCCGCGAGGGGTTACACATAGATAGAGTAGGCAGGCAGGCAGGCAGGCAGGCAGGCAGACAGACAGACAGACAGACAGACAGACAGATAGACAGATAGATAGATAGATAGATTATTTTAAGTATCCGCCGAGTCCAAGTCTTTTGCTATTGTTATCAAGATGG